AGCGTGTATAGGTATGTGTGTTTATGTAGACGACAGGTTAACTATCTGAGATAAGGAATTAGAACATGATGATATCTTGTTATAATTCAACAACTGCCATCCATCCATGTGCCTTGCCACGGAAGAGTAATCCGAACATAGCATTTCTTTTCTTGATGGCTTCCCCATTACACACAGTTATGGATCTGTTTCAAAAGATCCATCCATTGAAGACGTAGATGGAACGGACAGCCAGCCGACTTCTGTAGTTGGTTGTTTACTTCCGTGGAAAGAAGCCTGCTTCATTCTGTATGGTTTAAGGATATAAAAAATGTATAGCTATGACCACGTTATCACCGAACTTTCTTTTTCAAAAGCCACCCTTTCTGAAAACAGTGAACAAAATGATATATTGACAAAAACGAAGAAGATAAACGTTGCAAACTCCTCACTCACTCGATTCCAAAAAAGTCATTTTAATCAGAATACAGATATCTTCATAAGTCGTCTTGCTAAATCAGTAAATAAGACGTCTTTTCTGGCAGCCTGGATTAGCCTCTTTAGGCGCACTGTGAGACTTAATCAAAATAAATTTTACCCGTATTGGTATTTTCAACGAGCTTTTTATCAAGCTGTTCAGTCGTTAATATACATATGATCTTTAAGAAATTAAATCCTATGAAGAAATGTAGATGAAAGTTGTGAATACCTATAACAATAATAACTATAATAATAATAACTACAATGTGAACTGAGACAAAATATTTGTGATTAAACGAAGATGGTAATATTAATAATAATCATAATAATGGTATTCATAACAATAAAGTGCGTCGGTGACACAGTGGTTAGGTCTCTCGCCGACCATGCACATGGTCCGAGGTTCGACCCCCCGCCGACGCACACCTGATATTTATGGTCAGCCTGCAAAATTTGGGCTACCGATATCACATGCTGAAAATTTCATACTTGTACTAAAAATACAGTGTAGAATCAAGCTGTAATCAAAATAAAATAAAAAAATAAACGAATGGCACACAAATTAAATAAACAAAACGAAAAATAAATAAATATAGAAAAAAATATAAAGACATCAGTCAACTTCTACTTCGTCAAAACGCTAAGTCAGATATTCACGAAGTGGTCAGATGAGACCATCATCCGCTTCGGCTTTTACATCATTCGTGATCTCAAAACACAATATCAGTGATGCAACAGTTTAGTTGAATGACTGGATTCCTTTCTAACTTCCTGTATCTTATCATGCTTACTAGTGTGCGAACAAAATGACCCGGCATTCAATCACTTATCATTTTATAATATCATTACTACTATCATTTTCATATTTCAACTGATTTCTCTTAGTTCTATTTATTTTCATGCTACGACTGTCTTCTTCAGTCCTGAATATGTGAATAGTTGCAGATCATCTACCAATAAGTGATCGCATCATGCAACACAGATTTCCGTCACACCAACACGTGTTGTAACAGACACTCCAACGATCTTCATACTATTCACCATTTCAGTGACCTGTGAGATCAACTACATAGGTCACGCCATTAGATATAGTTCAGTAATGTTATCGGAAGATAGGAATTTAGACAAGTGTGGAATGACTGACCCCACAAACACAACACATGCACTGATACACAATCGCATAACACTGTGTGACAGGATGACAACTCTAAAAATTAGTATAGGTAGGTGGAGGAAGATTGGTTGATCACTGAATAGGTCTCCATCGAATCTACGTGAAATATTCGCAATAGGAATGACGTGACGATAATGCCAGAGACACGGAGAATGCTACTACTAGTAGAATCAAAGGAAAATGAATAATGAAACTACACAAATAAAGTCTGAAAGTTATGTGGACACTCTAATGTGATCATGAAGCATAAATTATGCTCAGGAGGTTATCAGTGGGCAATTCATATTGTCTCACTGTGTGTTTCATCAAAAGAATTTATTCTATGATACAATTATACTGTAACACACTTCTCAAATTCCATTCTCAGACCAAAGGAAATGCCTCTCCCTAGACACTGAGGAGACATATATGTGTATTTTATTTGGTATGGAACTAAACTATTCATGTCAATTCCCAGAATGATAAACCAGATATGCGGTACCATAATCATGAATATAAAATCTATATTTCATAGTAATGAAATTGTCTCGGATGATCTCTAATTATCGTTGTTTAGGATTCAGTGTGTTAAAGATCATCAATGGAGTATATGAAAAAATTGAAATGGCGTATGTGAAGTATTTTAAGAAAGACTGGTTGTTTCAGACACAAATCAATCCTATTGTAAAGACAGATCATTTCACTGGATGTTATCAACTGAAAAATGTATTGAATTTCAGTCAGTGTTCATCTGCTTGAAATCAGTTTAAACTTTCTTCCCATACAACTTCTCTCGCATTAAAAGACGTCCACAGAATTTCAATTTTCCATCTGTTTATTTAACTGCTAATTACATTACCTTGTATTCGCATCATATAAATCAATCCGTGTTCAACTTGAATCCTAACAATATTCCATATTCCTCAACCTCATATTTAGCAACATCCACTAGTGAAAATGTGTATTTCAGCGTTGATTTATCCGATGTTCTCAGCATAAGTCAAACTCAAACTTACCATTTCAAATTCCAAACAGTCATTGTTAATTACATAGTCTGGATGATTTAATCATGAGCTGACATCACTTAGAGCACCATTGGAAAACCTGGGAATACTGGACAGCTGTTTCCCCGTCCTAGTTTGGGACTCCTCAGCACTACGCACCCACCACCAGGGTCCGAACCCAGGACCTTCTGGTTACAAGGAGAGCTCGTAGACCATTGAACCACTGGGACCCGATCCAATGGTCCTTGAATTCTAACTTCTGCCAGTTCACGATATAGCGCGACCACTTCGCAATGTCTTCTTCGATGAGTTACTGCCTCATCTTCAACCTGCTGTACCCTACTGGTCACGGCTTCCCTCTAGAACCCCAGGTTAACTGCCTGAATAGGGCCAGTCACTAGTGAGCATCAGATGAATTTTCAAGTATTGGTTTTGTAGGGATTTTGTTCGATTGCATAGAGGATTTAATCATGAGCTGACATCAGTTAGAGAACCACTCGAAGTTAGAATTCAAGGACCATTGGATCGGGTCCCAGTGGCTCAATGGTCTACGAGCTCGCCTTGTAACCAGAAGGTCCTGAGCTCGAACCCTGGTGATGGGTGCGTACTGCTGAGGAGTCCCAAACTAGGACGGGGGAACAGCTATCCAGTACTCCCAGGTTTTCCAGTGGTTCTCTAAGTGATGTCAGCTCATGATCAAATCATCCATGCAATCAAACCAAATCCCTACAAAACCAATACTTGAAAATTACATTGTCATCAAGTTCTTATCTCCTTTTATTTTGCGTGTTCAACTTTATACTACTTAATAAACTGTGAGTAGCGTCAGTTTATATCCCATTTTTCCATTTTCCTAATCTGTAATCAGTCCAATGGATTTTATTGGAATTTCTCTAACTTATTGTGTAAACATTCCATTTAGTCTGGCATAATTATTTTCACGTGATGAAACTATATTTAATATACACCTCTTCCTTATGTTCCACTCTCCGTCGAGCAATTTCTATTCGAATCTCTTTATTCCTGACCGGTACACTAGTGCGTTATTTATTCAAACACGCAGGTCACTTTTCACGAAGATTTACGATCTCGCTTTATTACTGACTCACAACAACAGTGCATTCGACGATATATAGACTAGTTACCTCACAATTTGAGGTCTTCATATATTAGTTATTATATTCATGCATAATATGATGTTTTATTTTAGACAAATCCTGTGCTTTGGATTTTACAGGTAAATTAAACGTCACGGTCTAATTAGTCAGTCGAAATTTCGATTACAAATTATCCTTCCAGATTTAATAGGAGCAAAAGATGCGGTCACCAAGTAAACTAAGGTGACTTGTTATTTAGTTAATAATTTCTGGTGCACAATCTCATTTTGACAGAGAATATCTCCATCGTTGAATTTTGTTTTAGAGCGAATATTCCCATTCAGACATTTAGAAGACAAACAGATTCAGCGAAGTATATTCCTTTCGATAGCTTCTTTATCCGACTGTACAGAGTTATGTACGCATACATAATATCTAAAGAATAATCTCTACCGACAATACTGATGTTTTTAAAATAATATCGAGTTAAGGTGAGAAGAATTACAGTTGAAAAGCGTGTGTAAATATCAGTATTGCCAGTTTTATTATTACCATTATTACTTCCAAATACACAGAAGACGGGCATTTCACTCTGTAACAATCTGAAAATAAAAATAATTTCGTCCCTTTATCAATTAAATAAATTGAAAAGATTAAACAGGTTTGTTCCCCACTTATTGAGTCCATCATTTATATTCCTCCCTACTTGGTCTGTCTCGTGTAACCCGCATATTTCTCTACAGTTTCCCTAAGCTGCTGACTTCTCTCTAAATAATGATGAATAAATTTTATTGGTGGTGAAATAGAGTCCATTCAGATAGATAGCTAGATAGATCAGGGATAGATAGATAAATGATAAGGCGACTAACAAATCAACCTCAATATTTAAGTAAACATTAGATCCCCACTACAATCCTACTCACAATCAGCCTATAGTGCTGTAATTGTTTCAAGCTGAAATTGTATAAACAGACAAGTGATTATTATCCAAATTAACGATTCGGTTGGCACTGACATTTTAAGTCAGAAGGTTCGAGCATATTTAGGCAGTTTCATTTAAATTCATGAAAAGAACTTTGTCTGTTTCTTCACAGAGAATGCAATTCTCTGTAGGGAAAGAACTCTTCTGTATGAATTTAACTCTAAACTGCTTGCATAAGAGATTTTATTGAAAGAGACTATTATTTTTACCCTTACATAACTCGGTATAAATAAGAAAACAAATGGCTTTTCCATCTTTAGAAAATACTCGATTCCAAGGATTCGAAGAAGCTTACTTTGGAGGAAATGCGCTCCATCATCAAAATCTTAGGAATATGGTCTAGTATATCAAGACAATTTAAACATATACAGATCAATCTCGCAGCGCAGTTGGACTCCGCTAGTGCTAATACTCATTCTGAGCAGACAGTTAGTGAAAATTCAAGCGATCGTTTTGGAGAAGAACTTCAAAGATCAGAGGCTAATATTAGGAATACCTTTGATTTGAAGTATTTTGAATCGGTTTTATCTTTTGACCAACTGAATGAATACAAGTGGGATAAGTTGGTTGATTCATGCAGTTCAGTGCAGCGTAAAAGGCCTAAGAGTAAGTATTCTTTTGATGTATGTACTCTTAACAAATCTTTTATTTACTCTCCCTCAAATGCCATGCTTCCCAGCATCACTTGTGTTAATAATAGCCCCTTTCCAGGTTTTAACACAAATGATGTTCAAAAGTGCCTCAAGTCTCTAAACCCTTCCCAGAGCTCAGGTCCCGATTATGTACCTAGTATTATCTTTAAAAAATGTTCTGATATTCTGTGTCCCCCTCTCACTGATCTGTTTAACAAATCTTTTTCCGATAATATTGTGCCTGCCGTTTGGAAGGACATTAAAGTTGTACCCATACCTAAATCTTCTACTGGACCATGTGTCAAATTTAGACCCATTGCTTTTACCTCTCCTTTTTTGAAAACTATGGAGAAATTACTTTTACTTAGTCTTGTACCTTCGCTTAAATCCTTTAATGACCCTAAATAATTTGCCTATAAGCACAGTAGAAGCACTTTAGATGCAGCTGCCGTCTTATATTGTGGTGAGAGCAGGCCGTGAGAAAATATGAGCAAGGCTGATTCAACAACCAATCACAGCAAAGTTAACGTGGCAAAATATGATTCGCAGATAGAGAACTCTATTTGTCGAGGAATCCCGAAACAACCAATCAGAAGCCTGCGTTTGTCTGCCTAACTTCTGATAAACAACCAATCAGATGACTGCGCTTGTCTACTTGCATAAGCTATAATAATGTATGTGAAATATGTATAAATACGTGTTGATTTTCATAATAAAACGATCTGTTGCCTGGCCCTTGTCTTCTGTTGTTACAATATCATAACATTGCTTCCAGTCTAGACAAGGGGGCTAAATTTGTTCGTTGTGCCTTCCTAGACTATACATCTGCTTTCGACTCGGTCCCTAGGGACATCTTATTAAATAAACTTGCTGCTAGTCAAACAGAATGTTGGGCTGTTAACTGGTTACATTCCTATTTCTCAGATAGAAAGCAGTACACCGTATATAAAGGGAAGTCTTCCACTTCATTGCCTACTGAAGCTGGTGTCCCTCAAGGCGCTGTTCTTTCTCCTTTTCTTTTTTCTTTCTTCTTGCATGACTTGCCTCACTCTGATGAAATAAACTTTGTGAAGTACGCTGATGATTTAACGGTTTCAATGGCTGTTAACTCCCAGCTAGATTGTACTAAAATAAATAGCTTTCTATCGGAAGTCAGCAAATGGTCTGAGTCTAACGGTCTTAAACTGAATCCTTCTAAGTGTCAAACTGTTGATTTCAGCTTAAGATGTAAACGACAGTTAAAAGAAGTCATCGATTCTCATGACACTTGTAAAATTGACGACAATGATATAGGAATCAAATCAGAAATTAAGTATCTTGGACTCATTCTCTCTTCTGATCTCTCCTGGTCTTCCCATGTCTTAGCAATCTCCAGTAAAATATTCCGCCTGACATTTTACATTAAGAAGTTAAGACACTCGGGTATAACTCAACCCCTCATCTTACAGTTCGTAAACTCTTGCATCCTACCTATTCTTCTTTATTGCTCACCCTTATTCTTTCCTGGTTTGCTTAAAAAGACTATGTCACAATTCGTAGAATACTGAAGACTGTCAGTAGGGTGAGTGGTGTCCCAGTGGACCACATAGTTAACGTCGTTGTCGATAGGCACTTGACTTCGTGCAATAAATTTGCTAAAGGGATTTTGTCTGACTTGGAGCATCCGCTTTACCCTCAGCTTTCACCTTGCATCTCCTCAGGTAGAACAAGGAGTAACTTCAGAAAACTGTATGCTCGCACGTCTAAGTATAAAATTCTATGATACCATACTTGGCACGTATTTTATGTGATGAAAATAGTGTCAGGCAAGAATTAACTAACCTTTTTTCATCTAGTAAATAAACAATTTCCTCCATCCATCCTTATATACCTTCAAGTTTTACTTTTATTACTTCTATTATATTTATGGTCCTGTTACTTCTCTGTTTTACTCTCATAATTGCAAACACCAACTTATCTCCATGACGGCTGTAATCTTTGTTTTTCCCCTCACCATATCATGTAGAAAGAACATTATATTCAATATTTTTAAACATGTTAGGATTTCTATACCACATTGCCAATACTGTGTGACACAAGCCAACGGCAATTTTCACTTGTATTCTTATTATTATTACCCTAGCTGTTATCATTATTATTGCTATTTCCATTTTATATGCTGCATGTTTTTGACACTACCTCTATTGTAAATGTGGAAAATTTTCTGTGTGATTAATTTTATTTATAATTTGAGGAAATTAGATGCAATATTGTGATTAATGCTGAAAATTCCATTCTGTATCACAAGTACTGTTTTTGGAATAAAGTAAATCATTATTATTGTTATTATTATTAGAATCAGTATACAGCCTTTTGATCGCTTTATTACTCATTTAATGCGACGCTTAGTTTTCAACAGAAATATTGGACTCAAGAAAAATTTAGATTTGGATTTTTTGGGGAGACCGAAAGAAGAATTGAGTGGTAACCGAATTTTCGAAAGTTAGTCAAGTATTTTGTCAACTGACCAATAGTGTCAAACTGCTAAGTAGGCTGATATTTTGATAACAGCATCAATAAGGAGTGCGGTTATTTTCACAAATAACAGACAAAGCATTTGCACTATACAAAATAAGAAGTTGGTTGATTTGGACAGGGATTCATATTTCAACCAACATAAATTAACATTTCTCCTTGTTGTGTTCCGGCCGTCTGTGAGCCATCAGACGATGAAGGAAAATCTTAACTTGGACAAATTGAAAGCTGATGCGAATAAATGAGGCCGTTCAGTATCACTTTGATGTCCACCAATATTGATTCAAAATACACAGTTGTTGTTTGCTTTGAACAGGTGGATGAATCGTTGTCCTGAACGAATCCTAGAGCTCACTGGAACCAATTCACTGGCACATCTATTCTTGACTTTTCAACTTCCTCCCCTAAGTACTTACTCCAAAGATTGTTTCCAACGTGCGTCGGTGGTACAGCGGTTAGTACTCTCGCCGATCACGTACACGGTCAGGGGTTCACCTCCTCCGAACGCACCCCTGATATCAATGGTCGGCCTGCAAAATTTGGGCTACCGATATCACGTGCAATAAATCCCATACTAGTACCAAAAATACAGTGTTGAATCATGCTATAATCTAAAAAAAATATCTAGTCGTGAATATGCTGTGCATAATCATGCTTCCAGGAGCTTTATTCATGGACTGCCTCTTAAATTGGAGGCCGAACATCTGATCTTAATGGTTACTCAGCCACCAAAGTTTCTCCATGTGCAGCATTTCATACTCCTGATTACTTAGAACCCATTGTGGATACTTCACGCACTTGTGTCTTCCATTTTCGAATCACATCAGAACTATGGCGCCAATCCACATCTGAAAGTGAAAAGTGTGGGACCCAACTTTCAGTATATAAACATTCACTAAATACTTCTATCAAAGAATATCTCTATACCTCAGACTTTAAATGACGAACAGTATGCTCCAAAATGCTATCTGCTGTTGGGGACATTCTGTTATCTGATATCTCCTACTCTAGAACCTTGTTCCAACTAGTCCCTCCTGTCAGACAGATGAATGATGGGGAAGGCTGTCCAAGTGTTCTCAGCTTAAGATGAGGAATTTGTATTGAATACCGAGTGTCGTGTAACCTCCGTTTCGATTTTACAACCTCCATAGAGTTTTAAGCCATTTGCTTCATTCTGAAATTGAGGTGCCCCGCAACCAACTTCATTTACTCAAATAACATGGTTGCCTGCCTTTGGTTGTCAGTTCATGCAGACTGGTCATCCACATAAAAGTCTTTTTGGATAATGTATGCTTTTCTACCATACTTCTGGCTGTCATGATTTCAGCGTAACATTTCATTGCATAATTCATGAGAAAGTGTGGCAACAAGGGCTTGGGTAAATAAAGACTCAATTCCAAGTGAAAAGTGTTTACGTATCATGATGGACGGTAGGCATCTACAGTGCAATCTATGAGCTCTAGGCGTATAACATTTATTCTGTTTGCAGTGAGTTATATTTCAGATACTCTGCAGAGGAATTTTAAAAGTAATAATAATCTATTTTATTCCAAAAACAGTACTTATAATACAAAATGGAATTCTCAGCATTTGTCACAATATTGCATCTGATTTACTCAAAATTTAAATAAAATCAACCACAGGAATTTGTACACATTTACGGTATAAAGTCAAAAATATTCGAAGTACAAAATAATAATAATAAGTATAATAATAATAATAGTAATGACAGTTTGTTTTAAACAGTATTGTCCACTCAGATTGGAAATTTTAGCGTCTTATAGATTATTGAATCTAATGTTCTGTCAATGTAGCATGGTGAAGGGAAACACAAGAAGTAACGGTTATAACACAGCTTAAATGATGTTCACACTTATGAAAAAATAAACAAGCAAAAACAAAAAATTGAAGGGATTATAAACATCATAATTACAATAACAATAAAGCTTGGTGGAATAAGGATGCAGAAAATGGTTTATTTAATGGTGCAAAGAAGGTTAGTTAGTTCAAGCCTAACACTATCTCCATCACACAAAGTACGTACTAAATATGGTATAGTGGAATTTTTATACTTAGACGTACAGGCATAAAGTCTTTTGAAATGACTTCTTGTTTTACCTGAGCAGACACAACGTTGGAGCTGCGGGTGAAGTGGATGCTTACAGTCTGACTAAATCCAGTTAGCAAAATTGTTGCATGAGATCAAGTGCTTAACAATGACGATTTCAAAGATATGGCCCAATGGGATACCACCACTTGCTCCACTGACTGACAGTTTTCAGTGCTCTACGAAGTATGACTTAGGCTTTTTTAAGCAATCCAGGGAAGAATAAGGGTGAACAGTAAATAAGATTAGGTAAGATGCAAGAGTTTACTTCAACAAGGAAAGAATTTTGGTGCTGTGGTAGATTATAACTTCATCATCAGGTAATTTTATTTCATAAAATACACAGTGATGCATAATTGCTTAGTGATGAAGTTCTCATCACATTTCACTGCTCATTATCATATAAATGATTTACATCCTTCCCTGTATTCGGATTTACTGGCAGCAAGATTCTTTCATATGTCGGATACTGGCACTTTGTCATTCATATTGCATGTATTGGATGTAATAGATTCAATGAACGAAGATTCAGTGATCATGTCAATGTGATACTTCTTAAAAGTGTGGCACTACCTCACCCCAATGTGTGTGTGTGTGCGTGCGTGGCTATGCGTCAGTGAGTGCATAGTTATTATTGAATTCTCCTCGGAATTATTCATTTTCCTGGGGCCAGTCAATCTCTACACTTACCTGACTTTGTCTATCCCGATAACTTACATTAAGCCGATATTCTAGTCTCATGTGTGTAATCATCATCTGTTGATATCCATGTACCGGAACATTCTCTCCTATGAGTTGACGCCAGACTTCTAAGTTGGAAAATTTGTGTTGAGTTAAATCCACATTTATGAGTTATTTCCTAGCAAGCTACCATGTATCATCTCTTGAAGTACCTCGTGATGATTATGGGAAACTCACCAACACGGAATGTCTGAATATGACTTCACTGAATGGAAACACCAGTTAACACCTTCGTGAGTATTCAACTTAATCAACTTCGAAGATAGTCAATGGAAGCCATCACCATTCCCCAGAATCCTCCTCATTAAAAGTGGTTTATAGAATCTTCATTGACTTAAGTCACCGCATTGCAGTAACAGGTGGTTTCCGTGGAGTCGAAGTGAAGTAGTGAGTAAAACAACAGAACTCGGGTGGAAATAATGAAGGAGCCTGTGTGTATTCAGTGTATTTATTCAGAGTTTGATAACGAGGTGCATGAATTCCCTTTCTTGTCAATCCGATGAACCATCTTAGTTTCAGTGAATTCTGGGCTTCATTGAAATTTAAGCTAAACCGTTTGAAATAGCTTATTTTGTTTGAAACAATAGTTGTGTGAAAAATATAACGAAAAACCGTGTGGTATAAGTTATTGGGTTGTGCCACTTTATTATTTATTGAAGTGACTATTCATGTACAAATGTCAAGTAGGCTAAAAAAGGTGTTTCATTTCGAAAACAAATACTCGTATTAGTTATTTTTCTACTGAAATATGTGTGTACTTTGAGACGAACATCAAAGGGATAGAGAGAGGGAGAGATTAGATGACGCACTTTGTATTCTGATTTGTGTAGTTTCAGTTTAATCACTGAATAAATTACACATTAATCTTTGAACTCATAGTTATATTCTTGTATTATATTACATAAACAGTTTTGAGTGGTTATTGTTTATGAGAAGTATTTTGTTAGATTGTAATGATTGATACGTGTTAGAATGGTGGAACATTCTATGGCATCATTTAGTTTATATTCACAGATAACTCGGTGTGTTTTTCATACTCATTCCCACTGAATAATAATAGTAATCCTTTTGTAAGGTTATATTGTCGCAAGAAAATCACTGAAATCCATTGAGGCTTATTGAATGTGTGAGTGTAATACTTAGACCCTTCTCTGGCAAACGCTTAGACAAATTTATGAGTGAAACAGAATAATAATCACCTTTATTTCCTTCACTTGTGTGCTTCACATCCCATTGACTAATTGAAACTGTATACATTACAAAACGAGCTGTGTGCGCACTGATGACAATCCTACATATTCAACAGCGTCTCACTGGAATTTGAGTACTTTCTCAGTGTAACAGTCAAACATATTTAGGGACATCGAATCTGTGCTCTAGTGACTTGGAGATTCTCGTAGTATATTCAAAACACCTAACATTACTCTACAGAATAGTTGTGTGAAATGTCTTGGGTACTGGTGATATGGTGAATGAACACAGTTATGTTCATCACGATAACTGACGTCAATGTACGGTAGTGTGTTTCAATGATAGCTGGAAGGTGGTTTCAGTGTAAGTGTATGATCTAGATGAGAGTGGCGAAAATCTTCTCACAATATCTGCTGGCATCCTACGGTGTAGAATTATAATTATTTTGTATTCTACAACGTCTTTAAATAATGTATTCTGAGTAAGCTATATCAATGAAATGAAGCGGTTAGTAAACTTGTCAGGAAAAACACCTTCGTAAGATGACTGATGTGTGGTTAACATGTATGATTAAGAAATACGAATGATATGAAATTAAGTCAACAAACAAAGATCACATCAGTCATTCGCCTAGCAACAGTACACTACGTCTAATTCATTGTCAGAGGGTGAATGTCACGAACATTGAAAAAGTCGTATTTCATCAAACAAGAACTGAATGAATTGTTTTCATTAGTAAACTGGCGTCTGTCATTTACGTACAAATGAGGATACATTATCATTTATAATAAATACGGTAAACAGCGTTTTAGTAGCACAGCAAATACCCATGCAGAGCCTAAGATAGGAAACGATAATTAGAGATAGTACATACAACATTTCACTGACCAATACATCTCAGGCCTGATTTCTTCAACATACTCTTAAATAAAAACTGCCTTAAGACTAAAGTCTTTCTTATGCTTTTCTTGTGAGATGAGTGAAAACTCTCTCGTTTAATTTGTCGTACACTTTTAAGAAAATATTGTAGTAAAATGCTGAGAATTCCATTCTGTATCACAAGTACTGATTTGGAATAAAGCTTATTGTGGTGATTGACAATTTCTATCTCTGTATTGTTTAAATACTTACTGTTGACTGTTGATATGTTTCTTATATGAATGGCATAATAATTCCGCTAAATACAAATTCCTGAGTTCTGCCCTCTCTGTGTTTTGGTTGGATTCGTGTAATTCGGTCATCTCGAAATACTAATATTACGATTACAATAAATTACTACACTTATCTTATCTTAAACACGAATAATGTTACGTTTGGAATTTGTCATTTGATCTCTCCTAAGGGGGCCACTATATCTGTCATCATCATTTGTGGATACCAAGTCTGGTGCTTTGTCTAGACGATCAGTAATTTGGACAGAGTTCTTATGATCAGTTAATCTAGGCAAGATGTTGTTGCAAGAATTAAATTCCCCACAGACTTTAGATAAAGAAGCTGAGAAGGTTGGAGAAGTGAATTCCACATAGTGGACATATCTGAGAAACTGCAGTCGAGTACGACGTAAATATCTGTTGTGTACACGCCAGGATATTGATTCGGATGTTCCGGACGAAACTTAGTGATGACGAGACCTATATTGTCACTGGAAAAATTTAATCATACGTGATTGGGTATCAACTACTTGGTATTAATGCAGGTAGCTACTCCTCCTTCAGGGTTTCTCTCCCAGTTGTGTCTATCTTTCCTTGATACTTCGAGTTTGTGCGAAATGGTGTGCAAATTCTCTGAGAAAAATTCCGACTTGATGCGAACTCTTTGTGTGTCAGACGTACGCCCTTCTTCTGACTCTTCAGAATATGCTGCGTGATGCAGTTAATCACAGTCAGAAACTCAGCTTTGATGAGTCTTACTTTGTCAATGTATGTAGAAACTGTCATCACATTGACAGACATTAACAAAATCATATTGTACCACATTCTACCTTCTTATACGTCCTCACAATTAGTCTATATTGATTATGAAAAATAAGCACTCAAGACTGTAGCCTGTTATGAGTTCAAATACTTACGTGTAGTTGATTGAAAGTATGTCTCATTGAACAAAGTTCCATTGTAGATGCAATGGAATTATACTCCACAATGGAAGGGGAATTCAGGTTTAAGGAAACCGGAAGAATGGGAGTTAATGAATCTCAAAAATGATAGAAACATAATAAAGAAGATTTGTAACTCAGGTGGATGATTTACAATTAATAGTGTTCTTTGAACTGGTTGGTTTAGTTGTGGAGCTTTCGTCGTTTTTCTGGACGACATCTTCAGCTCAGTATTTAGGATAAAAAGAAATTATGTCAAACCTTAAAGAACAAAGTTGAAGCATGCAATCGACGAAACATTTTCTTATTGTTGTTATGTTGATGACACATTTATAGTGTGCAAAAATGAAAGTCATGCTTCACACTTACTAAGATTATTCAATGATGCACACGCCAATATTGAGTTCACTATGGAACACGAAAGTGACGGAAAGTTTCACTCCCTAGACATGGCCATGGAACGCCTAGAAGACGGTAGTCTTCAAAAGTCAATTTATCGAAAGCCCACATGAAAAGGACAATACTTGCATTTTAACAGCTTTTGTCCTAATAGCTTTAAACGTGGTCTAGTCAAGACTCTGTAGTATAGAGCAAGGAGAATATGCCCTATAGAGAAACTAGAGGAGGAGTTTGAGTTCCTTGAAAAGATATTGAAGAGCAATGGGTACCCTCAAAGGTTCATCAATAAGTATGGAAGATCTGAAGTCACAAATGTAAAACAAATCACAGTGGGAAAAAAGCCAGTCTACGTTCAGCTTGATTATAAAGGTGAAAACATTGCAGCGATGACCAACAGAAGGCTGAGTACATCACTAGCCATAGCCTATCCTGCAGCTAAGCTCTCTCCCGTCTATCGAACAACTTGCTCTTCGGTGCAATCAAAAATCGACAGATATCCTTCTCATGTTAACTCCAACTGATCACTGAATCTTCATCCATCAAATCTACACTAAACTCTTGCAATGAGGATGACTCAGTACCAGAAACAGAAGTATGTAGAATAGGCGAAAGAGGAATTCATTACTCTGAAATCGGTGTAACTATCTATACCACTCGGGATTAGAACAAGACTCGAATCCTGAACACAAACGTTAAGCCATTGCTGATTTATGTATTCAAGGACTTGAAGCATGTTTCAAAAAAAGCATTTCCAGCACAATGCAGATTTCCATCAACAACTGCCTCCGTTCTACACCTAAGATCAAATGGCCAGTCAGAAAGAATAAGCATGAGGTAACTGTTGAAGCAAACCTGATAACAGCCTGGCGCTTGACGAACATTCAGAATGAAATGTATGTGGCTTTAGTATGCTCTGAAGATGGTTTCAACTGGCATCTAATGCCATCTCTTCTATTAGTAGTTAGACGATGGGTGACCATTTAGGCATCCAATAACTGCGTGGATAAGAACATATGAGGGGGAAATAGAAACTTTTTATCAGTAGTTGAACCAACTGGAAGTGATGACAGACAACCGAATGAAGCTGTGACATTGAAGCTGTGAGTCAGACATGGAATACATTGACCAATGATAAATGTTCATTCATACAACGCCAACTAACAAATGCTGTACTGAGATAAGATCCATTTTGCTGTAAAAAGCAAACTCGCAAAGCCTGTACCCAGAAAGCAAAAAGTTACTTCTTTCAAAAGAGTGTATTTCAGTGGATAATAAAAATATTTTGAAATTTCATTTTAATAAAATAGAAATCAATAAAAATCTAATACACAAAAAAGTAATTAACAATCTTCATTCACTTTCTCCAGTCTGTTCATGTTCTCAAAATTTAAACTGGGCAGAAACCTGGACCATTGACTGGATGGGCTTCTATGTTGTTACTGAAATAAATCGTCAAACAGTTACATAGAAATTTACAATCAGCTTTGTTGTTTAACACACTGAATAACTAGTATTGTTAGACAGGGATAATGCATATATAAAATGTAATTGCTCCTCGTTAAATTGTTAAGTTCTGTGTGCATACATCAGCTCATTTTTTCTTTTGGAGCCAGATGCATTGGTCATTGGATGCCTGACCTGCCTGAAAAGGTTTATCATCAGTCCTAAATTACAGTCTTCACTAGCGCCTTAACAGCATTCAGCATGAGCAGTGAAGAGCTCTAAGATGTTTAATACATCCCAGGAGGTAGAATCGCTTAGTGAACTTCACTTTACCTTGAGATAGTTTAATAAATATTTGAATTTTGCATCTGCCTTAAAAATACAACATTCAAATAAATGCGGACTGATAAATTTTCTAATTTCCATGCTTTTGCTAACAATATATGCAACAAAAAATGAAGTAGGATCAGATTCTTCGTTGGAAACGAAGTGAACGTCACATACTTTGTCGCGGGGTCAAGAGACGATGAAAACTGCGATTCAACAGTGAAAGAGATGAATAAAACTAACAATGAGTATTTCGGAAAAAGGCAATGCCACAAACATATTGTGACATAACTTCAGAATATACATGAAATGTCTATTTACCTGTAGCCACTTCAACTGATTACACATGAATATAAGAATACAAGGACTCACTAGAGCATTCTGCATCGAAGTTCACCCAATCGTTGTGAGAATTTTTCATTTGTCTCAGGGCTTCTCGACCATAATCTTTCAGCTACAGCAGCACCTCTGGGCCTGAATATATGTCAAAGAGATTAGAAGAAAATAAGGTCACACTAAACTTTTTATCAAGCTCTTCAAAAATCAGTCTGTCACAAACTGGATGTCTCCTTGCATCATTTCTTGTATGAGTCTCGCCTATGTAGTATATACGAAGGCGTCTCATTTGACATTTGGCCAGATGTGCCATTCGTTGATGAAAAAATATAACGCTAAGAGATGCCAGCGTCAAACTAGCCTGAAAATTCAGTAATGGTCATTTGATTTCGAAATCAATAGGACCGTCAACTCCACCCTTAGTAGTTAACATTCAAAAATAGTGACTGTTAAAATATGCGATAGGTTGAAAACAGTCATAGAAGTACTGATATTTGCTCGATGATTGGCTAACAATGGAGTCCCATCGATCTGTCCATCCTATATCATCTGAACCTGAAAGGATGTCATTGAATGTTCGTATTCTAGCAGAGACTTAGCACTGGGCTACTTTGTAATTTTCTGCTCCAAGGGACATTTTCACCCAGTTGTCTTGTCGACTCCAAAAATCACCATATACACTTGGTTCACTCCCACCTAATTCTACTTAAACCATTTTGTTAAGTGGACAAAAGCTGATTGCACGGCACTTACCATGCTAGAGTGATCACATTGGTCTCATCCACACGTGTGCTCCACATTGTAGCTTCACCACCAATGACTAATGATGCATCCTGCACTGAACCTGTAAAAGACATGACTATTATTATTATCATCGCAGGAAGTTAATAGACTGAATGACGATTAGTGTAATTTGCAAATTCAGATACTCCGGGTTCACTGGTAAACGAAACATTTGCCATCCAGATGGTTTTATATGTTCAGGTTTGATGTGTTTCTGTCTTCTGAATGCGACAAATTTTGCACTACCGATAAATTTAGATATTTAATTTTGATTTAGAAATGGTCAGTTAAATACTCAAATATATCTGAAGCATCGGAAAGTCTAGACATAACTTCATCACTCTGAAATCGGTTTAGAACTCTGATGCATTCAGCATAAAGAACAGAATTCGAATTTTCAACACAAATATTAAGTCAGTCACTATCCCTATATGGATCAGAAACTTGCGCTGCGCGTCACGAGAAGCATTTTCAACAAGCTGCAGTCTTTTGTTAACAGTTGCGATCTGTGGATCCACACTAAAGCTCAAATGAACGACCGGCGAGAAGGAATCAGCAACAAGAAACTCTAGTAACGAACCAGTGAAAAAATCTACAGCACAACAAATATTTAGTAAAAAATAGACATCGATAGGGCACAAGCTGAGGAGACCGTCGGGAAAAACTTTATACTTGTCCATCGCAGTTTCATCTGTATAAACAAGGAAACACTCTCCTCCCATCCATATTCATTCGCAAGAAAAAAATACTGACAGTAATTAAACACCTCAACTCTTATCTTTGCTCTAACCCCAATAATTACCTTAATCTCAATTATAAACATGACGTCCTATCAACCCGTCGTCCAAACAGTATTTGAAAGCGGGATCACGATAAAATTTGCACCCACATTCGTGCACAAAATTCATGGTGGAGCTACAGTGACTACAGGTTTTGTAGTCCAATGAATGATTTGCTTTCAAGACCATTGGTACGAACTCACTTCATAATGTCGGCGGTGTTTTCATCGCTACTGTTGGTTACAGTTACTTTGTTTATTGTCATTTTCGTAATCAAATATAGGCGGTGGTATATGCAGCAGATTACAAGGGTAAAACTGTGATGGTTTTAAATTTCCACAGTACCCGTTCAGCTGAGTAACTGATAAATTCTTCTACCGAATGAAATGTCCTATTAGTAGATTTGGTCAGACTTTGTCAGACAAAATGAGATTTGTGTAGAGGGTGGAAGAAACTAAAACCATATGAAAATGTTATAGAAAAGTTGGTTGGGCTCACAAGAAGGGACAAAATGCCATCTTTAAAGTACAATCTATGCCTAATTCATATTAAACACTTAAAACGGTCTCAAATAGGCACACAGTAGCTATACCGGAATGGGTAATTCAACCCATACGGTCCCAGGCAGGATACTTACGATAATGCAATTGGACAATCTGGAAGACCGACGTTATGCAACCAATAAATTTGCTTATTTGTTGACTTAACTTTCCGACGTACGTAGTATTTATAAATGATGTGTTAATGAATAATGCAGTCGAATTGTTGGTGTGGAGTGCCTTATCCTTCCGTCTTTATTTACGTGGGTTCTGAGGACTAGAAGTGATTGATAAACCAATACGGGTGTCATCATTAGTCTTACAACTGACATAAAATAATTCATCAATCACTCTTCTTCCACATCAAGTTTCGATTGAAATTACGCAAGCTAAACTGCTTAGTCGCGAGCTACCGATAGGTATGTAGTTACAAAGTGCCAATTTTTCAGGATTATTTTGGTTCTGACATCATGAAATTTGGAGCATCTGTCAATTCGTCTAACTCATTTTTGAGCACTCTTTCTCAGGTACAAATCTTTGTTGCATGTGAGACAGAAATCTGAGTTCACTTTTGCGACATATTCGTCATCGAGGCCCATGCATACTTCATCAGATCTCGATTCGTGACTAAACGATTGCTTTTGAGGATGTGCTTGTTCTGTTTCAATGAATCTGCAATTCAACCACCCAACTCGCATAATACAACAACACTAAAAGCATCCAACTGATCCACATATTCTCTTCATTATTCTTGAATTCCTAAACGTTAGAATCCTTATTTGTTACCTATATGACCGCTTACTGTGCAATTTCAAATTACCAACCCATTCAAACTGTTAAATGACAAATAAGTTCGAAATTAAGCAAATCCAATAGATAACGGCAACACATAAGTTTGGGTAATGACAGCATTCCTGTCAAATCATGGGGTAAATCAACTAACCTCCAAAATCTATGATATTTTGTCTGTAGTATTTCATCCAATCATTTTCATCACCTAGATCATTTAAATTCCAATCACCAGAAACTATGACATTGAATTTTTTTTTGGTAGCCTTTTTGGTATATCCTTTCCAGTCTGAGGTTTTCCAAACATGAATAACTGTATTTTCATCACCCTATAAGATGGAACCAAACATTTATACAATTACTGGTTGTTTGTCGAACGAATACAAATGTCTTTTAATGAGAGAGAGATTTACGATCAGATGGTAATCTAGAAAGTGAGAAACACCTTATTCTGAAGATTGGAGGTTTCGATTAAACGGTGATTATAAGGAGGAATTTCTTAACTATCTGAGTGTGTAAAGCCTATCTTTGAAGATGTGTTAGGTATTTGTCTATCTTTAATGGAAAATATTCAGAGTTGACTCTTTTTCCGAAAACTGAAAGATGCAGTTAACTCGCTACTGTTCTATTTTGATCTCTAAGGTCTTCTAATTTCTAAAGAAAGTATGTCATCGATAGATTCTTCACTTCAGAGTGACCAGTGTCTTACGTCTGATCCTTGAAGATGGTGCTGACTGATTTGTAATAATCGAGATTGCAGATTGATCGCCAAGTTAAATGAAGACTTATAAAATTAACAATGAGAACCGGGCTGTCTTTGATTTAAGAATAAAACGAGGAAGAACACTTGCCACTCTTGACGCTAATGTCTTTGGAAAATTGGCACACTTTAACAGCTATCCTAACTCTAGATCAATCAATTCTACGTTATGTTATAGCAGATTGAAGAAAAGATGATTCGGTTATACAAATGACAGTCTAATCAATACATAGGAACACTTCTATGTGTTAAAAAAAAGTATAAGTGAGGCACTCCTAACTAATATTTGGTTTCTAGAATCCTTTAGAAACAGAAAGTATGTGGTTAGAGGTCGTTTTTTATTATAGCTTATTCCCGCACAGTATTTCTATACAACTATGGAATTTTCAGCAGGTGGTATCTGTAGCTCAAATTTAGAAGGTCGACCAATGTTAGCAGATGTGCGTCGGCCAAAGATCTAACTCCGGAACATGTGCAAGGTCTGCGAGCGTCCTAACAACTGTGCTACCGACATACAATGGAAGAGATGAAATAAACACCGATTTAATGTAGTTCATAGTAGTGAAGAACGTGAAACGTATATCATCTTCTTTGAAACTCGTCGACTACATGCATCCCCACTTCACCGAATAATATCATTACCAGTGAGATGGAGACTAGGGCATTAGCACGTGGTAGGATCTAAGAGCTGAAGTGTCTTAGAAAACCGACTGAAGTGGTGCAGTAAGTAGGAAATCCACAACTGCTCAATAGATGAAACTATTTCTATTTTATTTTCCACATTAGGACTAAATCATTCAACTATGCGAGTGTAATACAAAGATTTCAGGGTCAAGCGCAAAGATTGACTTATTCTGTTTGGGCCAGCCGAGTATTCAGAACATGAGAATTTAGCCTGATTTATCATATTTAACCCCGTTGTATAACTTTTTTGAGAAAATATTAGTTTACATGGAGTTTCAGCGACACTAAGTGACCCCAGACTCATGATGAGCTTTCTGCTTCTGCTGTCTGCCCACAGCGTGTCATTTGTGCTACCAATTAAAATTCTGAATGAAGACTTGTCCGTTACTGTCAGAAAGTGTCTGTAGATGTCATTCTTCTGTGTTGCTTTTAGGTACAGAGCACTGTATAAATGTAATTTCTCTTCTATTTGATTGAAATCTTGTATTCACATTTTGCAGGAGATCGGTGTTCAGCTCATCAGAGCTTTCTATGTTGTCAGTATTACCATGATGAACACACTCTCAGTGTACTTGTTGTCTTTGCCTGAGTGGTTGGAATAGATTATTAATTCTACACTAGTGAATTCACATATTTTAGTTCCGTTTCATCTGTTTTCTCAGATTTCTAACAGTATTATAACACATCTGGTTCAATCTGTGGTCTGAGCAGCCTCAGACAGGGTGGGGATACTTCATGTCCACACGCTTATGGTCAAAAGGTAACACTTCGGTTAAGTGGCCTACTAAAGGCTTCCATCCACAGACGCAGTTCATCCTAAAAATCTTATTCCCTATTCCAGTAAGGAATGAGTTTATTTTTCATATTTTCCTGTGCATTGAAGCTATTGTAGCGATGAGGTAATTTTTTAAAGCGTAAGGTTTTCAGCCTGACAATCAACCTTTCTCCTTTCAAAGGTTAAGAATCTGCTGATAAGCCAGGAAACCAGGAAACTAATCCCAGTTGATCGCTGAATTGTTACTCATGAAATCAACCGACATCGTATAAGTCTAATAGATATAATCCAAAACCAATGACAGGAATATAAGAAATATTCTTACCACTGGAATCATGATATGAGAGACAGTCACAGTGAACAAACAAAGCTACAAAGTTATGTTAATACTCTAAAATACTCACGAACAATAAACGCTTACTGAACCACAATCCACCTTGTGAAATAAACACATCTGATAGTGTTGTGTATAGAGAAAACAATTACTACTAAACACGACCAACACTTACCTGATATCCGTGATCTAAAACCTCTTGATATAAAATAGGTGTAATGGCGGCTTTTGGGTCACCAATACTTTTCACAGTTTCCACAACTTTCGACGTGTAATAGTTCACTAATTGGGAAGTTTTACCAGAAAATCCCATTTTTTGCATGAATTCAACTATTTCTGGATTCGAATTCCTAAAGAAAAGGACACAATAACACAATAATTATTGATATAAGTATAAAACTTGGGCACTGTGGTAGAGTATAATTCCATTATAGATAAGATTTTATTTTGATAAATCGCACTTGATATGATTATGAGCAATAGTTTGTGCTCGAAACGTCATCAGTTCATATAACTGTAAACACTGTGCGATTTATCAAAATAAAATCTTATCTATAATGGAATAACACAATAAGTTTAATTTTCCCATGTTCTTCGTCAGTGATCTCTAGAAACCGACTTTTCTATCAAAATAGTTACCCAAATCACTGAATCATAGCTTGCATTGTTGCAGAAAACAAATTCAGGTTTTGAATGTTTATTATCGAATGAACGACAGCGGGGAAGAATAGCGGGTAAACCTAGTCAGATATACAATAGGGCATTCATGATTCAGAAGGCCTTAAAAATCGTAGAAAAGATGTAGTTCCCATTTGGTTATCTTTCTCATTCTTGGAATCTCTTTAACCGCTAACCACCTCTGAGGGATCATACCATACTGTTTCTTACAGACCCTATCGATTGAGTAAAATCATCTACAGGTGAATCATTTTTTCACTTCATATTCTTGACTGTGTAAGTGAAATGTGAATAATAGAGAATTTTCGTTTCACTCATCGGAAGGAAGACAATAAAATCGCTGAGTTCAGTAGTGCTCAGTGCTTCGTTTAAGTTTTCACTGTAAGCAGAATAAATAATCCTGTACTATGGAAAGTCACCCATCAGAGCTCATAATAACAATAATGATAATGGCTTTATTCCAAACAGTAATTTTAACAAAGTGTGGAATTTTCAACATGTAGTACAGCATGTATTACATCTAATTCTTTCTTTACATAGTGCAAGTAGAAATAAGTCAACAGGGCATTCATATTGGTAATATTGTTCAAAAGAATAAAGATCATAATTGGAATCATTAAGAAAAGTATATTAATGAGGCAGTGAATTAAAAGTGTCGGTTACTTTATGTTTCTCAGTAAATTAATAGTGTTATGCCTTACAGTTTTCTCATCACATACAACATGTGCCGAAAAGGGCATTGTGGAGTTTTTATACCTAGTCGTCCGAGCATAAAGTCTTCCAAAGTTGCTTCCAGTTCTACCTGATAAGATGCAAGTGAAGAGTTCTGTATAGCGAGGATACTCAGGGTTCGACAAGGTAATATTAGCTAATTTCTTGCATGAGTACATGTACTAACAAGCCGGTTTAGCGACACCCCACTCGCCCTACTGACAACTTTCAGTACCCTTCACAGTGTGACAAAATCTTTCTTAAGTATCCCAGGAAAAATAAAGGGGGGGGGCAAAAAGGAACTGTAGGCAGGAAACACAAATCATTAAAACTTTGAAAGTAAGAACTGAGTGATTTTAGATTATCTTAACTACTTTACGTAGAACGTTGGACAGAATATCTTTCTACAAACTAATTTGATATAGAAAGACCAAGAAAGATTGGAGGAAAGACACAATACAAGGTGTTTAACATCAAACTTAGTTTTAACTTCTGTACCATCTATGATACTAGAATCATGGAAGCGAACTAGTTCATGTAAGCTGCGCTAGTGTCTGAAAGTGAAGTGATATCTTCCCAGTGAAGTCGTGTAAGATATTCAGCAAACAAGTGATGTTGCATAATTTTCTTCCGCAGTTGAATGGCAACTTATGCCATCAACAAGAATGAAATTTTTCACAATCTATTTATGATGTTAGATGAAAGGACATCATATCAGTAAATTAGTTAGGATGATACCGTCACATCCACTTTGATGCATGACAGGTCTTGATCAATAAGTAGTATATATATGAATCACTAATCTTCATGCCTAATTTATGATCCTGATTATGCATATCTTATAAAGTGAAATATGCTTATGTTCTGTTCAAAATGTCAACGGTTTCATTAGGGGATATGTGTAACCAACGACTTCAATCGATACAATCATCACTCACAATTAACTCCATTTCATTTGTTTCTGAATTTGCTGACAAATGATCTGCAATTATTCACACATTCACAAGCATATTGCTTAGTTCAGATTCCCTTACTTCACACCAGTTCACCATGACCTTTATTCAAGCAGTTTTATTGAAGGCTGATACCAAACCCTGCATACACTGTTTACGGTATGTAAGACATTTAGGCCAATTATAAGTCTCGAGAACTGTTGTGTCATATGTGAATCACAATGTATACAGTATTGTTTTTGATGACTAATCGTGACTTAGAGATGACTGGACAAGAATTGTACAGATAATCTGTACGTCTTATATTTACCTTTATTATTTTAATTTCAAATATTTTCCTGAAGAAGTATGGACGAATCAGATGAACGAAACATGAGAATTATCCATTTCATATTAGCTGAGATTTAAACAAATATAACTTTCAACTATTGATAAAATGTACTAGATGAGATGAATTCAACCTGTATCCATCTGAAGCAAGAAAACGTTTTCCTTAAGAATATTTTGAGAATTTCAACATGTCTTAACGTTTCCCCTCAATGAAATGTGACAAAAAATATACGTAAACTCACCAACAGGCAACATTTATCTCATTGCCTCCAAGATGAATATAATTATCATGAAATCGGCTGGTGACTTCTGTAAACAAATTCTTCAAAAAGTCAAATGTAGAATCATTGGCTGGATTCAGTGGACCCAATTGTCCAGTTGGATCAGAGCCTTCATAACATTTTGTTAGTAAGTCTGGATATGCCTTTCCCCATGACAGTGTATGTGCTACAAGGAAGTATTGTGACAACCAATGAAAATCACTTTGACAACTTTTAGAAGGACAATATTACTTAGATAAAAAATGACATGGCTGTTCAACAGTCAATACTCTATACCATTCACCATTTGAAATTGACAGTTATTTCGTTTCCTGTGATTACACACTATCTACCGCACACATCAGGTATATTACACAATGACCTGCATTCCTTCATCCAAGGATAATCCCTACGACTTAAAATGCAGTGATCACGAACTTGACAATTTTAGTGACACTTCAACTAATTTCATTCAAGCAGTTCACCGTTGGAATTCTTCACCAAGCTTTCTGGTTTATGTGAAGCGATTGAAAAAGAATAAACGGAATGATAAACCTGCAATGATTTGTATAAAATCATGGTCTTTTCACAACAGAGATGCGATAAAGGCTTTCGTCAAATATGAAACTGTCAGGCAACTCAGTATTAATCTCCTTCTTCACCTCCTTGATTTAATATACATGTAAACATGAAATCATGAACAATCCGCATTATAGTTTCAAACGTAGTGCCTCTGTCGAACTCATGGTCCGACGTCCCATTTTCGGCATTATTTCGAGAATCCTTTCACACTGACTCAAATATTTACATAATAATATTATTTCATGTGGACACAGTTGGTGAATAACTACATTACGGCAAATATCTTCAAACTTATTTACCTGGAGTATCAAACTCTGGAATTATCCGAACTCCACGGAGACGAGCGAACTCCAATAGATCAGTCACTTCTATTTCATCATATGTACATATCTGTGGATGATATGCACCCTGTTGAGATTAAAACGGGAATTGGAATTAATGAACACCTGAACATTAACCTTCATTACCTTGTCTGACAGTTCTGGGTAGGTGGTTGAAACAAAGGGAAACGATTGGTCATCTGTGATATGCCAGTGAAGTACATTCATTTTAACCATAGCCATGCTATCCTGAAAACAAAAAATACTATACTGAATATCACATCTCGTACTATTATCTTCCGTAGAGTTTCAACTGGCATGAAGTTCCTTCCGGTATCTAAGAGAATTCCACGATGTAAGAATAATGGGGAATCTTCCACAGAACCCTTAAAAATCATATTCTAGATGAAATATATTAATGAAGTGAAGTTGTCGACGAAAATAAAACCCACCCCTCCGAATTCATCTTTGTACACCATCTGAAGTACAGTTTCAAGGGCACGTAGTGCACCCCAAACCTCTTTGGAACTTATAGAGATTTCTGTATCTTTAATGTTCACGGTATCTGCAAAGTGATGAGTGAAATAATTCTTGTGTTATGACTCACATGATTCATTCATCATATGACCTGGCCACAGTTTATTTGAATTTTCATCACATCCATCGATGATTTCAATTTTCACTTTGTTTATGTTACATTTCTCTTTACTTTCCTGTGGAATTGGTGGATGTTGTGTTGCTAGACGAAGTCGAAATCTTTTCAGGCAATCTGTGAGTATAAAGCATGTTGGATAGTTGTGTTCGTAGGTAAGCGTATGCAATAGGTTGCAGGCTGTTGAAGCTCTGTTGTAAACTGTTGGTACTGGGACTATAGCCAGAGTGAACCGACTTGCATTACTGAAGAGTAATAAAACCACAAACAACGCAGAATAAGATATCATGATTTCTTTTTGTCTATCAGCAGTGTATTTCTCACTCGTATCTCAGCAAGTTTTATACTGATTCTGAATTGGATTTTGAACTCATTGGCCATCTGATGAGAAAAATATCATCCAACCAAATCAGCCTATCACCTAATGGTTTGTTTGTTGGTTGTGTATTATGGTATTTAGATAATTATGATGATTTTTGTAAATTATTTTTTGGGAAATACAAATGTTATGAAGATTGAAGACGAGTCAGTAAGCATTCTCATATATCAATTTCCAACTTGAAATACGCGTGTTCTGTGTATATATGTGTCAGACATTCATCATCCAACTTCCACGGAATCACTTTATTTCAGCGAACTACGAAGTAACTGCATAAAGTGTCTGCTTCCTAGTGAAGGCCAGTCTTGATGCATCTTTCACTGAATCAGAATAAAAATAGGGCTAAAACTGCATGAGTTAAATTATGACTATGGAAAACTTCTGCGCCACTCGTGGGTGCTTTAGGTTTATAAATTTTTCTTTTGATGTGTTTTTCCGACTAAGCTTGGACGCTGTTCTACACTTTTCTTCAATCTAGTAGCATATACAACCTTATACTTCATAGTTCAGCCACACTGGTTAGACAAGTTCCTAAAAGCTTCTCTCGACGTTATTGTGACGTTCAGTCTTCTAAACATGTCGTTCTGTAGAACATTTTTCTTTCAAAAAGCCAAACCTTTTTAACTCAAATGTTGTTACCAGCATTTGCAGGTTTGATAAAGTACAGATTAAATTGTGACATTAGCACATTTTATCTAGTAAGGCTTGTTTCTATAGCGTGAGATACTAAGCACATAACCTGACATTTCCAAATGATGAATCTGTGCCATATCTGCAGCTCAGTTTAAACACACTTTTATGAAAAAGTATGTTCCAAAACTTTTCTGAAACTTAAAATTTGATTTTGTTTAGGATATATGCAGTTGATGAGTATCCACAAAATAAAAAGAGCTCATATTATCCTGCAAACATGTTCGTTCTTTCTCTCTTCAAACTAATAAAGGGAAGCGGTTGTGTGAAACACTTTTAAAAATTTATTGCTTGAAGTTTGCTTTGCTTTAGCACGGCAGATTGTTTCTATATTCTCATTTGTGTTAGCCCCTGTGTAATTCTTTAATTGTCATATTTAAATGTATTTTTTTCATCATGACTTACCACATAGAATGCTGAAATCGAATTTCTTGTGTAGGCTGTAGTTATGACAACAATTTCTGGACACATCGACCGTTCGCAGGGTCCTCTCAAGTGGAAACGTGTTTTGCCCTCTGTCTTAATCACTCACATGAAATTAGGTCTAACTTTGTTATTTTGAGGCTTCCTGAAAATATTATCGAGTATGGGTGTGAGGTAACTGAAGTCCCTCTTCAGAACTTCACGATCGATTCAAAGCTGCTCTGATAAAAAGATTTGCACCTACAGATCAGTAGTAAGTGCAAGAATTCTCCCCAGACATACATTTTGGTGACTGCAGTCTTACTCAGATACTTTATTAGATGTAACAATTAGTCACTGATATCAAAATTGACTGTGCATTCAGATGGCACCGGGAATCCCGTCTATCTTTCGAAATTCACTTTGATTAATTTGGGAGAGGAAGGGGACGGAACTGTAGAGGCTTTTAAGGCTAAAACAGGTATTTTGACCACATTATTTAGATCTCTTTCCTCTCTAAACCGACGAGTCGCCGAGTTTTGACTCGGCTGCCGATGTAAATAGAATTTATTAGATATGCAGTATTATGAAGGAGATGAGAGAGAGAAATTTGTCGTATGATTCCACATTTATCTGTTGTAGAACATACTTCTTACTTACTGGGAATATGCGATCGTGTTTAAGAAATGCCCAATACAATGTTAGGCTAATGTCGAAGACGTTGTGCTGGCCCTACCGAGAAATACACTCATCCTTGTACTTTTAACGCTATTCGGGAGACATGTGGGTAGACATATAGTGATGACTTACGTCACTTCAGGATTGGAACAGTGTTCGTTGTAATCCCACATGGATTGGAAAAGCGTTTCCAGCCAGTATCTTGAGTGTAGGGCGAAATTTCCATTTCGAAATTTTCCGTTATTGTGTTACAAAATTCGTTCATTGTTTAAGTCCAGGATTCAGCTCATAGTGTGTATAACGCCAAACAGTTTTTCAGGGGTGACTCTAAGAATAACCATTCTACTACTTGCACCCTGAGATGGTTCATGGCAGGCTTTTACTAACCTCCTTTTAGAATTCGGAGTTATGTTTAGGCTGGCTAACTCCTGCAATTTTAAGTCTTCTCGTTAAAAGGAGGGTGATACGGAGCGTTTACCTGTGTGCAACTCCTGGGGATCGAGGTAGTCACTGAATTAGGCAGAATTAAATCCGTTTACGTCTACAATTATTTGTTCATTATATATATCACAAAGTGAGTGAAACAGTATCATTTAATGGATGACAAGTTTTCGAGTACAATCTATTGTGGTGAAGACTGTGAAGACTGTCAGTAGTGTGAGTGGTGTCCCAGTGGACCACATAGCTAACATCGTTGTTGATAGGCACTTGACTTCGTGCAATAAATTTGCTAAAGGGATTTGTCTGACTTGGAGCATCCACTTTACCCTCAGCTTTCACTTTGTATCTCCTCAGGTAGAACAAGAAGAAAACTGTATGCTCGCACGTCTAAGTATAAAAATTCTATGATACCATACTTGGCACGTATTTTATGTGATGAAAATAGTGTCAGGCAAGAATTAACTAACCTTTTTTCATCTGGTAAATAAACAATTTCCTCCATCCATCCTTATATACCTTCAAGTTTTACTTTTATTATTTGTATTATATTTATGGTCCTGTTACTTCTCTGTTTTTTACTCTCAGAATTGCAAACACCAACTTATCTCTATGACCATATCATGTAAACAGAACATTATATTCAATATTTTTAAACATGCTAGGATTTCTATACCGCATCGACAATACTGTGTGAAACAAGCCCATGGTAATTTTCGCTTGTATTATTATCATTACCTTAGCTGTTATCATTATTATTATTTCCATTTTATATGCTGCATGTTTTCGACATTACCCCTACTGTAAACATGGAAAATTTTCTGTGTGAATATTTTTATTCATAAGTTATAATTTAATGCTGACAATTCCATTCTGTATCGCAAGTACTGTTTTTGGAATAAGGTAAATAATTATTATTATTATCATATACATGAAAATAACAAGACTTGGAAAATTGAGTTATGTAGTTTTCTTTATTCTCTGCTATCTGTTGTAGGGTAGTCGAATTTTCCAGATATATGGGACGGCATTAAACGCAGTTACACACCACCATACAATAGGATGGGAAGGATTCATAATGGAAGCTGTATTTATCAAATTAAATGCAAACACGTGTAATGGGAGGAATTCGACACCTGCCCCAGGCATCTGGAAAACTCTACTACTCCTAAGACAAATATAAAAAAGCAAAGGAAACTATAGAACTCAGGCTTCAAAGTGGTATGATTATAATTTATATGATTATGAACCACAATAAATTGTGTTCAAAACCTTGTCATCTTGAAAGCAGTAAGCATTCATAGCAGCCATATTAAGTTGAAAACACCGGCTCTTTTCCAATCACCAAAGGTAAGCAACGTAGGGCCCGGTTACCAATTGATGAAAAGGTGACTCGATGGGTGTAGCTGACCTTTCAACATACTGCGCTGTTTGGGATATAAAAGCCACTGCTGTATGCTGTTGTAAAGCACTCCTGGAAGAAATGTCTGAGGTATCTTTGTTAACCTAAAGGAAATAGCCCTTCACTTAATAACTACTCGGTGTTTATGAATGACTGAATAGCCCAAAAGACAAGTGAAGCAAACAGCCTATTCCACATAAACAATGAATTCATGGTTGTAAGACATCAGAGAAGATGCCAGTGAGTTGAGTGCCAATAAGAATCTGACTACACGGTAAGTGACATCTTCAGTGAAAAACGGTATAATTTAGTGTCCGACGCATCTATAGTCCCGATGTTCTGGAAACAGAATTAGATATTCTAAGAGAAATTTTCATCTAAAATGGATACCCAATAAGATTCATCGACAAAAATATCAAACCAATAATTCGGAGAAACGAAACTTTAATTGCGCCTAAAAAGAAACTCTACATGAATTTGGATTTCAAGGGAGATTTAGCAAGCGATATTCTCAAGAGAAGGATCACATCATCTCTGAGAAGAACATTCTTTGCAGCAACGCTAAGAATAGTGTTCTCCAGTCGCCCACTGATCTGCAGAAGCCTCAAGGACAAGATCCCGCATCTGGCCACTTCTATGTGCATATACCAGTTCACCTGCTGCTGTGGAGCCAGGTACATCGGTCGTTCGACGCGCATCCTGTCCAAGAGGATTTAAGAAGACTATCCAGCATGGTTGCGAAAAGGCAATAGTGATACTATAAGGAGTGCGATAACTGAACACCTGGTTAACACTGATCATTCCATTTCAACAGACGCCTCCTTCAAAGTAATCTACAGAGTCAAGAATAACCTATCAAAGGCAATACGGTTTCGTCTTCTTTGTATTGCTGAAGCTCTGGCCATTCACATAGAAAAACCGGAGTTGTGTATATAAAAGAAGATTACTCAACCACTTCTACTCTCATGGTAACAATGTTTTGATTTGTTTTGAGTTTTTTTTATTTTGATGACTTAATTTTTTTTTTTTGCCTGTTCTGTAATTGCTTATAATTCTTGTATTCATTTAGAACTCTTACATAATTTCGTATTATCTACTTTGTTTCTATGTGCATCCTGAGTAAAACTCACTCATCAAACTATTCATATTATTATTACATAACTTCTTTTAATAACTGTTTGTGACAACTCATCACCTTTGTTACCAACCTAGTTTCATTAACACTTAATTTTCTTGACTTGTATTACCAACCTTCACCTGTTTACTTAAAGTAACCTTAACCAATTGTAATTTTGTTTGACAAACTTAATGTATACATACATACAAAATAACACATGTGTATTTTCGATTGTACAGCTAAGAAAATGAATTCTCCGAAAAGAGTCTCCTCGCTGATCTACGTATTTTGTTTTCATTAATGCCTCAATGGGGATTATCGACCTCATCTGAACTACCGGTGGGTAGGACGAGAATGGATGTGCATAATTAAGAAATACCATGGAGGAACTGATGGATAATTGTTAAAATGCTTGAGCAGCGTTTGTTATTTGAAAAGATACAAGGATGAGCGCATTTAAGCCGAACGGAGTAGTTGCGGCTATTTTTAGAACCACCTTTGTATGTATATTGGTGGATCCAATTACATTTGGCTCTCTGACATCTTTAAAACTGCTGATTTCTCCTCATATACCTTACGAAGGATAGGGGTTACGGTATTGCCATTGTATCTCCCAGTGTGTCCTCTTTGTAGATTCAGAAACCAATAAAAGTTAGGAAGTGGTTCTTGTTAGCGAAAAACCCTTTTTGAGCAATCGATTAGACAGGTGACCGTAGGTGATTTCGAGTATCTGAAGTATTTCCGTTAGTTCTGCCTTCGTCATATTAATGAAGATGGACAATGACAAGATAAGATGTCTACTTTCTGTGTGAAGGTGCGTATATAACTGCAGGTATCATGTGCACTTTTTTTAAAGCGAAACTATGCAACGCAGACTTCTTGTAAGCGTATCCATCTGTTTCAGTGAGATCGACAGTATAAATAGTGTGATGGCGGTCGGCTGCTTTAAGATTTGTAGATTATAGGGAGTTCATATTGATTTCGCCCACCGTTGGGCTCGAGATTACAGTTGCACCAATGTTCATTGTTCAAATGTATTTGTAATCAATGTGAAGCAGTTGTGTGCATGGAAAAGCAATCTTACAGAAATTACTGAAGGCTGTCTGAAGTCCAGAACCACCTTAATTAAATTCGATCTTCTGTACAGTGGTATAATGAGCTACCGTCAAAGATATTGCATTCGTTTTCCTTAAAATTATGGACTCTCACATATATTCTAAACGAGAAGCAGCCTTGCACAGGTGGGAATCTTGGTTTAAAAGCTTAGAAAATATAAATTTGCAAGTATTATCATACGGTAGTCGGTATAATTTCTAAGGAAAATCGTATTGGTATTAGTTTTATAGTTTATGAAATCCAGATCACTGCAGTAATAAAGGGAGATATTCTTATTTGAAAAGTGAACGAGTGTAGAATACACATCCATTCGTGATAAACTTTCAGTTCCGTTAGATCAGTGATAATTTTAGATCGGTGTTACAAGAGGAGAGTTTAAACTAGACAACAGGGTGTCATGTGAATACATAAGCAAAAATGTATTGGATCAATTCAAACTGAGAACTTTAAATGTCTGGTCACACTTACAAGTAAGCAGATAATAACTGCCTTGTTGTGTTCTACCACATGTATGTAGCTTAATTATTGAAATTAAATTGAAGTGAAGACTAGTGAATGTTTCCACATGCTTTCCCGCATATGTGGATGCACGAAATTTAATTTTGCTTCGCTCCTCATTTTATTGCTACTTAATCTCTTCGTCAGAAATCATTGCAGGCCTGAATCTGACATTTGAAAATAAAACTTCATCCGAATGCAATTCAATGCATGAACTCACCTTCAACCGTTCTATCCGTCACACTTCACAAGGATGGTTGAAATTCCAACCTCACCTAGTGTCTTATCCTCCAGTTCCTCACAGTGATGAAGAGGCATTGACGATGTGAAGGACATGACACGGAAGATGGATTTGATAATATGCAAATAAATTTTGGCCCAGTCATATAATGAAAGAACCATGTGCGTTCCGACTTAACAAAATTTAGTCACCACAAAAGACACCGAAGCACCCACTAGTTTCAAGAAACTTTTTGGGTGGATTTCACGCTTGTAGAACCACACATCAGTCATCTTACGAAGGTGTTTTTCCTGACAAGTTTACTAACCGCTTCATTTCATTGATATAGCTTACTCAGAATACGTTATTTGAAGACGTTGTAGAATACAAAATAATTATAATTCTACACCGTAGGATGCCAACAGATATTGTGAGGAGATTTTCGCCACTCTCATCTAGATCATACACTTACACTGAAACCACCTTCCAGCTATCATTGAAATACACTACCGTACATTGGCGCCAGTTATCGTGATGAATATAACTGTGTTCATTCATCATATCACCAGTACCCAAGACATTTCACACAACTATTCTGTAGAGTAATGTTAGGTGTTTTGAATATACTACGAGAATCTCCAAGTCACTAGAGCACAGATTCCATGTCCCTAAATATGTTTGACTGTCACACAGAGAAAGTACTCAAATTCCAGTGAGACGCTGCTGAATATGTAGGATTATCATCAGTGCGCACACAGCTCGTTTTGTAATGTATACAATTCCAATGACAATTAGTCCCTGGGATGTGAAGCATACAAGTGAAGGAAATAAAGGTTATTATTATTCTGTTTCACTCATAAATTTGTCTAAGTGTTTACCTAAGAAGAGTCTAAGTATTACATTCACACATTCAATAAGCCTCAATGGATTTCAGTGACTTTCTTCCTACAATATAAGCTTACAAAATGACGATTATTATTATTATTCAGCTGTAGGAATGAGTATAAAGAAACACACCGAGTTATCTGTTAACATAAATTAAATGATGCCATAGAATGTTCCACCATTCTAACACGTATCAATCATTACAATCTAACAAAATACTTCTCATAAACAATAACCACTCAAAACTGTTTATGTAATATAATACAAGAATATAACTATGAGTTCAAAGATTAATGTGTAATTTATTCAGTGATTAAACTGAAACTACACAAATCAGAATACAAAGTGCGTCATCTAATCTCTCCCTCTCTCTCTCTCTATCTCTCTCCCTTTGATGTTTGTCTCAAAGTACACACATATTTCAGTAGAAAAATAACTAATACGAGTATTTGTTTTCGAAATGAAACACCTTTTTTTTAGCCTACTTGACATTTGTACATGAATAGTCACTTCAATAAATAATAAAGTGGCACAACTCAATAACTTATACCACACGGTTTTTCGTTATATTTTTCACACAACTATTGTTTCAAACAAAATAAGCTATTTCAACTGATTTAGCTTAGATTTCAATGAAGCCCAGAATTCACTGAAACCAAGTAGATTCATCGGATTGACAAGAAAGGGAATTCATGCACCTCGTTATCAAACTCTGAATAAATTCACTGAGTACGCATAGGCGTCTTCATTATTTCCACCGGGCTTCTGTTGTTTTACTCACTACTTCACTTTGACTTCCCAGAAACCACCGCTTACTGCTATGCAGTGACTTGAGCCAATGAAGATTTTATGAACCCTTTCGAATGGGGGTGGGGATTCTGGGGAATGGTGATGGCTTCCATTGACTATCTTTGAAGTTGATTAAGTCGAATACTCACGAAGGTGTTAACTTGTGTTTACCTTCAGTGAAGTCGTATTAAAACATTTCGCGTTGGTGAGTTTGTCATAACCATTACGGGGCTCTTCAAGAGATGATACATGGTAGCTTGCTAGGAAGTAACGCATAAATGTGGATTTAACTCAATACAAATTTCGCAACTCGGAAGTCTAGTGGAAACTCACAGGAGAGATTGTTTTGGTACATAAATATCAAGAGTTGATAATTATTCTCATGAGACCAGAATATCGGCTGAATATGAGTTATGGGAGAAAGAAGTTCAGCTAAGTCTACACTTAGAGATTGACTGACCCCAGGAAAATGAATAATTCCGAGGAGAATTCAATAATAACTATGCACTCACTGACACATAGCCACACACACACGCACACATTGGGTTGAGGTAGTGCCACACTTTTAAGAAGTATCACATTGACATGATCACTGAATCTTTGTTCATTGAATCTATTACATCCAGTACATGCAATATGAATGACAAAGTGTCAGTATCCGACATGTGAAAGAATCTTGCTACCAGTGAAATCCGAATACAGGGAAGGATGTAAATCCTTTATATAATAATGAACAGTGAGATGTGATGAGATCGTCATCAGTGAGTAATAATGCCTGACTGTGTATTTTATGAAATAAAATTACCTGATGATGAAGTTACAATCTACCACAGTGGCACAATTCTTTCCTTGTAGGAATTTCGCTGCAGAGTATCTCAAATATAACTCACTGCCAACCCAATAAACGTTTTACACATAGAGCTCGTGGAATACATTGCAGGTGGCTTCCGCTTATCACGTTACGTAGACACTTCTCACTATGCATTCAGCCTTTATTTACCCAAGCCTTTTCACCACACTTTCTCATGAATTATGGGCTAAAATTCTGACTAAATTCATGAGAGCAATAAGCAAGGTACAAGTACTTGCATTGTTCAAAGGATTTCTATATGGTCGATCAGTCTGCATGAAGAGGCAACAAAACGTAGGCGACCTTGTTATTTGGGTGAATGAAATCGGTTGTGGGACACCTTAGTTACAGACTTAAACAAATGTCTTAAAACACAATATGCAGGTTGTAAAATCGAAACGGAAGTTACATGACACTCAGAATTCAATACAAACTCCTCATCTTCAGCTGAGAACACTTGGACAAGCACCCTCACCATTCTCCTCTCTGACTGCAGGAAGTCCTAGGAACCAGGTTAGGACAATGTCTCCAACAACATTTTGTAGAATACTAATCTTCATTTGAAATCTGAGGTATAGAGGCATTCTTCGTTAGAAGCGTTTAGTGACTCTTTATAAACTGTAAGTCATGGCCCCACAAGCTTCACTTTCAGACTTGGATTGGCACCATAGCTCTGATGGAAATTCGAGAATGAAAGACACACAAGTGTGAAGTAGCCACGATAGGTTCTAAGTAAACGGGATTATGAAATGTTGCACAGGGAGAGACTTTGGTGGCTGAGTAGCCATTGACATCAGATGTTTTACCTCAAATTCAAGAAGCAGTCTATGAAGTGAATTCCCGGAAGC